AATTTTGTCAGTGGATTGTGACGTATAGAGACGGATAATTCTCCCGTCCGCCGTGTACAAATACATATACAGTGCGTATAAACATAAATGTACACAACTTTGGTAGCTCCTTATTATAAAATCATAACCAAAATGACCTTGCAATCTATTAATCGATGAAAAGTAACTGGTTTTTTGTCAACAATATCCAATTTATAATATTTCTGCTACGGATGACTAAACACCAGGGCTTTTAAAAAGTTTGTCATAATCGCCTTGTACCAAGTTTGGGCCGATGGAACTAATGTGGGTCAGGCCATCTGCATGTGCTTCTTCGTGCTTAAATCCATTTAAGTTAAATTATGTCTCGTGCTTCAGTGCTTAATTGTTTGAAATGATCCAATGTATCTAGGCTTTCATGGAACCTTGTTTCAGTCCATATGATAACCTTTGATTATTTTGAACAGCCTACTATAACTGCTTATTGTCTCATTTTATCTAAGTTCTCTCTGCTCACTTGTCCGCTGCGTCATTTCACACGCAAAATAGAATCAGGTTGTTTTCTCGAATAGTCGAAAACTCAAGGTTGCTAAACCCAAATGCAAGAAAGAACACACATGATGATGATCATCAAAGAAATTGAGGGTAGACTCTGACATAAAAGATAACATCCTAATTTTAACTTCAATTTTGTATCACTTGAGAAGGGTTACCTTAAACAAGGGATGCGAATGAAGTCAAGATTGTTATCATCATAAAGAAGAGAATATCATAAACTGTGTTTGTAATAAGAAATTCTTTTAGTTTGAGTTGATATTATCCCCTTTTCTTTTCACATACCTAATAGTCGATGTAAATATTAAGTGAGCAATTGCTTTTGGAATGAGATAACAGACACATAATGGCTTTTGACCCACATTTATTGCTTCAGTCCGAAACGTGGTACAAGAGGATTTTGACAATACTTTTTGAAAATTCGTCCGTAGCAGTACAATTATGAATATGGTATCATCAGACAGGGTATTAGTTACTCTTTACCATGAACTATATTCCAAGGTTATATAGGTTATAACTTGTTAATTAGAAGCTACCAAAGTTGAGTACACTTTTTATTGATTCGCACTGTATTTCAATAATTTGTTTTTCTCCCAAGTGTCTTCATCCTTGGTGCACTACTCAAAATATATGTAATATTAATAATTAGCCGAGGTAAAATCTCCCGGCTCATCCTCATAATAACCATCATTTTCAAATAACACCATATGGTGGCATTGAATATACATTTCACTCAAGCATTCTTTCTCACCTTAAGTCTCGGTCACAAATGCCATTACGAACAGCTACGAACGCCGTACGAACGATTTTCAGACAATGGAAATTCGGGAAGACAATGGAAAAACAGGGAGATTCGTACGAACCTTTGTGACCGTAGCATAAGGTAATAAGAAATTAAATCAAATGATAGAACAGATTAGCTAATTTTACCATGAATGTAGCGGAAGAAAAATAATAACTATATCCGTAGAGGAGGAATACCATTGTATTCTAGGTATCCATTATATTTATCTCCACTATATTAAAGCATTCTTGTAATGACCTCGATTTATTTTCTCGCAAATGAGAGAAAATTTTAATATTGGAGATTAAACTAATATGAGGAATTTTCAAATAACTTATCATTATAATAACTTCATTACAATATTACGCTATTTCTAATACTTTCTAATAATGTAAAACTGAGATCTCGGACTGGAACTTACCATTTTTCAGCTGTAAAATATCCTAAAAATCCACCCTTCTCGACGATGTGAGCAGCAATTGATAATTGAATGAAAACCTAAACTCCCTATCGCGCCAATATTGAGAGACACGCCCATGAAAATACAGATTTTCCCATATTTTCTGGAGTTCAAGCATTTTAACGATCAAGGGAAATTGTGTGGATTTTAACACTTAATCGGTGAGAATGGAAACACGTGCTTCGATTTCCACTTTATGTTGTTTTCTGCACTACACACTGCACTCTGGCTATAGTTATAGATTACTATCTGTTGCAACTTCAATTTCAGTGAGTCCCAATGCATTTATGTAATGTGGATTAGTATTTAAAGTTTAATTTGTACAGAAATTTTAAGGATATTGCGAAAGTAGTGACTTGGTATAAATTAAAACTTTATGATGTTATATATATATATCCAGGAGCCTATTGTTACTATTTTTTATTTTCAAAATTGCAAAGAAAATGTGAGCCATAATGGCCTAAAAGACTTTGAATTTGCACTGCTTGAATAAAATGCAAGAAGAAAAAAAAGGAATAAAAAATTAAGCCAGTGCAGCTGCAAATTAATTCATATGAGCATTGTTCATTTTGATTCAATTGATCTTTTTGAATTATCACATTAAAAAATTCTACAAAAGATTGCTGAGAAATACAAATGAATGAGGCCACTTGATAAAGATAATGGGATAACTCAAATATAAAGCAAAAGAGCCCTGTAACATTAAGAATTTCGATTAATGGTATGTCTCCAAATTAATTGCACCTCCTTCAAATAATGAAGCTTTACAGTAAACGTAACTAACAATCAATTTTATTACAGATCCAATGTTTGATAATATAACTGCAGCAAGATTGGAGATAAAAAAGTGCCCATTTCTTCTGTCACCCGCATCCCTCCCCTCCGCCACCCCTCGTTCTCTCTTCCCTTTAATCGCCCATAAAAGGTTGTCATTCTTATCACAACTGTAAAGACTTTCGAAAAACAACCTAAAGCATTTTCAGGGGCCTTGTTCATCGCCTTTTGAAATGTGCGAAAATTATAATTGGCCTTCAAATGAGTGCCCTTTCTCTTTCTAATAAGTGCCCATTTTACTTTGATAAGGACCCCTTTTAAACCTCTATTTCCCTATGTCACTTTCAGTATGTGCCATATTTATTAGCAATATCTAGAATCAATGAATTCGAGTAGCTTTGTGTAATGCCCAGACGATCTTCCCGCGATCTAATTTTTGAAGAAATGTCAATTGTATTAGATATAGAAATTTAAACAAACATCATATTCCCGATTTAGTTTCTGATTGATTAAACAACTGGAATTTTGGTGTGTTTAGACCTTTTTAAACATATTAATATTCAGTTCCTTGATCCATGTTCATCAAATGCTATTGCTAAATCTACCAAAATCGAATCGTGTAGTCAAATCGTATAATGTGTGTCAAGCTAGCCTTTATTGCTACCACCGCAATACAAGGGAAGGCGGTGGATCTTACAGCACAAGGTCCAAAATTCCGGGAAAACGCTAACAGTAACCTACATGATAGTGTCCCTTTTATAAATGTAATCGTGCTCATTTTCTATCATAAGTTTTTGATATAAGGAGTGTGCCATTTCGCACTTAAGCGTGAATCCCTGTAAAACTTTCAAGATGACATATTATACTGTTATAAAAAGAGGCAACTTCCACCCTATCAATCATTATCCTATAGACCCCAACGCTTTTGAACTTCGTAAAAGTGAATAACTAAGTCATTATTACCAGTATTACTGATTTATTTAGAAAAATCAATCACTGTGTGTAATCTCTGAATATGATTTGCTGGATAATTTTACGTTAGTTTATTTATGTATGTATGATTATTTATGTTTTTACGCAATGTACACAATTCTGCAATTCAGCCATTTGGCTGCAAATTAATTTCAATAAAATCTTTTCAATTACCATAGCTTGCCAAGGTGATATATTTCTGTTTTCATGTAAATATTTATTTTCTCTACCAGGACATTTTTCTTCATTCTTGTTCTTGATATGGAAAAATATATTGTGGAACTCATGTCTCTGTTCCACGCGGTCGTCACTTGCATAATACGGATTTGTTATTGAATTTCACTTTATTGTGTGTCTTCTAAATTGTTTACATCATTGTTGCATGTTTGTATTTAGTCTTAGACGACACAGTAATATTACACAAGATCGCAACTACTTTAGAGAAATCAACCTATGGCAATTCAAATAACTTTCTGCGTCACCTATTGAAATGTGCTAATATGATTTCTATGGGATAATTTTTTTTCTTCTAAAATACTTGTAATAATAATAATAATATGTCTTGTTTACCCAGGTTGGCCTCATCAGTATTCATACTGTTCTCCCTGAGGGCCCTACAATCATACTATTACCCCGGTTATCGGATTCAGGCTTACCTGCACACATTGTATGCACATTCTCCACTCCCTGGGGAGCATTCCAGCCAGGCGTCATTTTTACAAGCGCACACTTGCTTATCTAAGCACATTTGCTTTCGCATCCTACCGGGTACCCATTTTAACACCTGGGTGGTTGTGATTGTGTTTGTATCATTACCATTCATTTGAAACACCATTCTAAACATTTAATTCGCTCTTTCCACATACTGTCATTCAGAGCCCTCCCAAATCTTTGTACTCCACAATCATGCACTCATAAATTATTTTCTACTTTCCAATCCAAGTCAGATATTCTTATATGAATTACTTTTGACCTGAATCTGTCGGTATGCGACCAATTTCTATACCTGTATTTTCTAGGCTGTATATTGTTTTGTTTATTTATTTTTGCCTTGAATTGTCCATTTTTTTTCTCCAGGCATTATCCAACACCTTGTTGTTGCTATGTACATGTATTTGTATTCTGAAGACCTTTTGAAATAAATGAATTACATTTGTATGTGACATTCTCTTTTTTTTTTATAAACCACTTGATTGTTGAGTAAAAGACAATTTTTCAAATACTAAAAATCTGAATATAGCCATTACCTAAGGCATGTATTATAAAATGCCCATGTTAAATGACATTTAAGGGGGAAACTTGCAAGTCTTTCAATATGGCATGTATCCCAAAATGATATGCGTTAGGATAACATTCCAGATATCATATCAAATGCTCTTCAGCTTGACACATTACACACACAGGCAAACATACATGCAAGCAAGGATACAGGAATGCAAACAATTAACATAAACAATTATAATATAGACTGACAAATGTTTGAATAGTTAACTTATATATTCATATATTTCATGAAGTGTATAATTACAGCAAGATACAATATATACATGATAGCCACATTTTTTGTTTCTTAACACTCTAAACACGAAGCAAACACTCTGTTCACTGTCTGTGAATAGGAGTTATTTCACGATAGAAATGAGCCTCTACTGATTAGTCCCTCTTTGACTCTGATAGCTGGATAAAACAGATTATGATTACATGCATATACCTAACGTATTCCCTTTTGAATAGTATTATTTCAATTTCTTAAGTAATAGGCGACAATCAATCAACGCTATGGGCAGCAGGATAGCAATATCTAAAGCCAAGACAAACATAAAGCACTGTGAATAAATTGTTATGCACAACAGGAAGGATGATACATGTAGATGTCAACTTGTCAACATTACCGTAAAAAAAAAAAAATGTAATGTCCATTGATTTTCTTTGTTGATATATAAATATATGCCTGGAATAATTCATTTTGATAGAGCGTGAAAAGAAATTGACTTCATCAACCAGGCAGCAAGTTGTAGGCTAGAGACTAGCATACAGCTATAGCAAGTACGAATACTAGATATTTGAAATATGAAAGCATTTCATTGGTCATCATTTTAGGTGACATTGCAGCTAGGATGATACTCAACAGAGGAAGAAGAAACTCAAGAATTAGAAAGTCACTAGTTATTTTTCACAATGACCAATAGTCAGTTCTCTTTTTTAATGTATTATACTGTTCCCTACTTACTGTACAAGATAGTATAATAAATCAATAACCGTTCACCAGCATTTCATTTAAAATTGAAATCTATATTTCTATTTTTGGCCCAACTCTATTCATAAGCATTTGAGATAGAAGTATTCCATTCTCCCATAATAAAATTTAACCTCTAAACATGCCTCAGAGAAACATAAAAGGCACTTGCAATTAGTGTTTCTAAACATACACAAATAAGCAGTTCATGACATTCAAATACATATTTATCTTGACCTAGGTATCTTAGTGAAAATGAGTGACATTGAAATCAACGTCTGGAATCTATGAGGGTTAATTGATCGATGGTGAATGTCTGTAATCTCAAGTATTAGACTGACGGATCTGGTTGTTTTTAGCTTTAAAAGGGGAACATACCGGTACTTGTTTATAGTGAGAATGTATACAAGATCCCAATCATAATATTACGGCTCTTCCTCTTAACGTGATCAAATTATGTTTTTTCAACCTTTGTGGGTTTCGGACAGGAGAATTTTCCTGCGAATACATTATTGTGCTGTGCTACATTACACTTCCAATTTACACTTCACAGTTTGTGGTGGCCAGTCCTTGATTTCAAATTTGAACATGATTTATATAATAAAAGACAACACCAATATGACAAAAAGATCCATCTTGCAGAGTAAGGCCCTGTCTAGTACTAGTTGCAAATTTTGCATTACACTGCCTCCTAATAATAAAGTGTCTTTCTTTGTAAAAACCAATTCTCCTAAAGAATTATTTCCTGTGCACGACATATACTATGTTTTAATTGAGTTTTTTTTTTGCTGAATCTATGTGATCAGTATCCAATGTGGACCATGACATCCTATCACCTAATCATCTGACTATCCTGGTATAATTTCAATTGATTTCGCACATGATACAGTATATCATTTCTTCTCTTTGTCTTTCTGTTCAGCTTCAGCATTCAATCGGCTTCTTTGGTATGGCAGCTCTAGAGTTCTGCAACCTTCACAAATATCTTCTGCTCCTGCAGGCAGTGATCAAAGCTCATTCTGTTATCTTGTCATGGTAAGACCTACATATATTCAGGTGTTCATCTGAAAATGGAAAGAAACAGACATAGGTCTTGCGCTTTTCATTCATTATCTATTGATCATTCAGCAATATGGATAATTCAATATACATACATGATATTACACATACATGTACAGTTAACTAAATTATTCATACCCTTACCAAATTTTGTAATCTTATAAGTATGTGAAAATATGACTTGTCCCCATTTGCGTTTCTTGATAATGTGACATATTAAAGCTTACATCTAAAAGTATTCAACAAAGGCCCTAATAGTCCACCTTTATCTTGAGTTCCGAAAATCACAATAAACATCAAATCTAATAATAATAAATATTGAGTTGTTAATTGTATCATAATGTTAAACATAATTTAGGCGCTTGAGTCAAGACTTGTTTGTGTATGCTCACCATGCAAAGATGTAACATTTTAATGATTGAGGTTCTGAATAGCTATATGAATGGATAATCAGAGAACCTAAATCAGGTAGATTAGAATAATTAACATTTTCATATCCAATCAAATTATATACCTGCTGACCTTCCACAGCGAAAATTAGGAATCTGCTTAGCCAAAGTTAGGAATACAGTACATGGTAATTTACACATGCTTTTGTGCAGATGTTTTCAGAAAAAAAAAAAAAATAGGACTCATTCCTCCAAAATAAAACCAATTGGCAGCTTAGCAATTGTGATTTCTTCAAAAATCGTATAGACAAATTGTATTTTGTGAGGTGAGCATAAAAGAAAGCAAACCGGTCCATTTTCTTGACAAGAACCGATGTCATATTTGGGTGCTATTGATAGAGGCTTGAGCTTTGACTGATGCATACACTGTACATGATATTAAATGTTCATGTATCATAATATTAAACATAATTAAGTTGCTTGAGTCAAGGCTTGGTGAGCTTAAACCCCTCTGCGCTTGTTTGGCCAGGAGGGATTAGACCTCCCTGTATGGTCACTGACAGGTGGTTATCTTATCAAATAAGCTCTCAATCAACATATGAAAAAGAGGATCATGGAGGACCAATGATTACCGCTTAGGCATTCTTTGCTATATAGCGGGCACAAGTAGCTATAAGTAGTGCAATGCTTGGGGATTTAAAAGAAAACAAACCTGTCCATTTTCTTGACTAGAACTGATGTCATATTTGGGTGCTAGAGAGAGAGGCTTGAGAAGCGAGTGATGCGAGGCCATGTCTGAGGAGTTGATGACCCTCAGAGGGGCGCGCTGCTGGGACCGGTAGCCCCCATCATGACTCGATACCTGCCCCTGCTGGTGATGGTGCTGGTGCTGGTGGGCGTGGGGTTGAGGGTGTGGCTGATGGGGGTACTGGTATTGTGATGGAGCTTGTGGAATCTGCTGTGGATCATAAACAACAGAACAAAATACACAATGAAATCAGTACAATTAGAACTTACAATATAGTTTAATCCTTATAAACATTTTTATGTTTGTAGGAGCTCTTTAAGTATTTGGAGTTGTATGGTATCTATGTGACTCTTTTCCAAAAGTACTCCTGTTTTGTATTCAAAGATTTCCTTTGTTTTTGCCGAATAAATAATAACAATAATAATAATAATAAATGTTCTTACAGTGATAGTAAAGTATTTTTATAGTTTTTTTAACCGGAGCTCTTTTTCAATTTACCCGAGCACCCTTGGAGCTAAATCAAACACCACAACTTTAAAATAGATTGTTATATTGAGAAATGTTATCACTGATGAATAGATAGGTTACCTGCTGTTGAGCATTGCCCTTCACTGCACTGGATATGTCTATCTGCTGCCCTCTACTGATCTGTTCCACCACACCCTGTCAACAAGTACAAGAGAACGATGTCAAATTCTTTTGCTGTTATGCTAGATTATAAATACCTATATCTGAATTCTTATTCTACAACAAGGACACAGTACATCTATACCTTCCAACAACAAAAAAGGAATCTCTCAAAGTAAATATATGAATTCATTTTTTTTTAATTTGGGGGGGGGGGGATAATGTTTTTTTTTCACAGATTCCAGAAAAAGATAGTTACTATATATATAGGCTTCATAACACTAGTCTGAGGGCCCAAAATGAGAACCATGCCTCCAAAACAGGCAGTTACACATACATGTATAGGACTAGGTGGGAATGAGTGACATTCTTAAAAATCCATTGAGGATTGAAACCAATTTCCTGCATTTTATGCTTTAGTAATGAGTCCTCCTCAATTACCCAAGTGCAGTTCACAGCAAAGGACCTCAAGCTTCATCTTGGTTTTAGCAACCTGTTCAATCAATGTAACAGACTTTCAGTTAAAGGGAAAGTCCACCCTATGCTATTAAGATGGTATCAATAAAAGCAGAAAATGAGACATAAGATCAGAGAAAGTTTGAGGAAATCCAATAAAACACAAGATAAGTTATGGTCAATGAAACTACAAGTTGGCAACCTTATGATGTACATGTGTATCTTTCAAGATCTAGTCCTATTTGCTCTGTACCAAAAGATTGTACAAGTACCCCACAAATAATTATTGTACAAAGACAAACTCTTCATAAGCCAAGAAAATAGAAATTTTGTGAATTTTCTGTACAAAACATATTGAGAAAGGGTGCTTGAAAGTTAGGACAAAAGAGTTGGCAGTTTGCAATGTGGTTACCTGTGCAAGTCTGGCTATACTCCTTGGTGAGTTAATCTGACTCTGACTGAGCTGGGAGACTAGGGCACTTATGTGCTCTGTGGTGAGGCTTGCTGTGGACTTCTCCGCTAAGTATATTGAAAGAAAAATGTTAACATTAATTTAGTAACAACTACATATAACAACATCATCATGAAAAATGAGGAGGAGGAGGAGGAGGAGGAGGAGGAGGAGGAGGAGGAGGAGGAGGAGGAGGAGGAGGAGGAGGAGGAGGAGGAGGAGGAGGAGGAGGAGAATGAGGAGGAGAAGAAGAAGAAGACACACAAAAATAGAATAAGGAGAAGAAGAAGAAAAGGGAGAGGAAGAAGAATGATAGGAGTAGAAGAAGTGGAGGATGAGAAAGAAGAACAATAACATTAGTGGCAACAGTGAAATTCATAAATAAAACAAAACTTATTGATAACTACGCATCCATATTTACCCAGGGTAGCCTCATCAGTATTAATATTGCTCTTACTATTAAAAGGGCCTGTTATTGTATTATTACCCCAGTTACAATGATGATAATGCACTCAAGCGTTCAAGGAAATTTTTCCTAGGAATTGACCCTTTCACTACACCTTGGTGGAGAACAGCAATGTAGAATAATGTCCTTCAAATCGATTATCAAGACCTGGTGGAAATCTGTTTCTTTTAAGTATTATTTGTTTTTTTATGTAAATACTTTTTTTTGTTATTTTCATTCTCATACACTTTAGTGGTAACCTTCTAGATTGATGGGCAAGTATAGAATAAATCTCTCATAATAACTAAAATTATTTCATGGGGTGAGGTTTCTTTTAATCAGGTGGGGTGGGGCACAGCTGCCAAACTTGCTGAAGTATGTAGAAGAAACCTTGTACCTGCAGGGAACGGTTTCTTCACATAAGGATGGTTGAGTAGCTCCTCTATTGACGGCCTCCTCTTCACATCTCTTGTTAGGCATTTCTGAAAATATATAAAAATCATTGAAATGAAGGGGTAAGCTTGAGTTCAGTTCATTATTGCTTGAGTTCAGGTCATTATTGCTGGGATTTTTTTTCTTCTTCCTAGTTTGGAAATCTGCATGTTCACGAATACAAAGCAATGATTTAGGAAGAGTAAAACAGCAGGTAAGAAGTACAGAAAAACAGAAATCTAGCTAGTATTCCCTAAATATGTGCATATCACGAAGTGGGGCCAACAATATTTACTCTATAATGCTAGAGTTTGTTATATCAGTGATCTTCAATACAAGGATCCACTGCAATTATTCTGAAGTTTAGAAGAAACAATCTTTACATATGAAGAAGTATGAGCATGTATAACTTTTTCTTTTGAGGGGGGCAATATCCATACAACACATAATTTGTTTACAGTGAAATATCTTGTAATTAGCTAAATAATAGCAGTAATACATACTTTCATCACATCGAGGAGGAGTTCATTTTCAATCGGTTGGAAGTCGATGAAATGGTCAGGGTTGCAGATGGCTTGCATCTTGAGCAGCCGGTGCACAATGTGCTGGAACGGTGTGCGGCCGTACACCATGGAGTAGAGGATGCAGCCCAAAGACCACACATCACTCTTGCAGTTGATCTGTAACGGTGGGTAGGAAGATGAAAGAGTGTAAGCATGTAAATAAAAGCTTTGTCTCAGGTTCGAAACTTTGGGGGGGGAACTGATGGCCTCTCCTTGAGATGTCTACCAAAGTGTAACCCAGTGGCTGAGCACTTGCACAAATCTCCAGCATTAATGGAAGGAATACCACAGACTCAACATTGTTGAAAATAGCTGTTTTTTGTCATTTGAACATAAATTTGCATTAAGGAATTTACTGTTTCTTAATAAATGAATAATGGAGACTTAAAATTGCAGAGACAGTGAGACCATTAGAAAATTCTAAACTGTTATGTGCTGATAAAAAGAAGAGTAGAAGAAGAAAACGTTAACCCTATGTTAACTGGGGGGGGGGGGGGTCAATTTGAACCCCCCCTGTAGAAATTTCGCGACTACTCCGAAACCGCGGCAGATATAAAATTTTCCTTTCACGACTTTTTACTTTCGAGTCTTACGCATCTTTTAAAACAATTTTTTCGAAAATCGGACCTACGGTTACAAGGTCACGTGACCTTTTGTCTTTGCATGTCAGCCCGAAAATCGCTCATTTTCATGATTTGTGTACAAAACATATGTAAAAGTCATTTTTCCTAAAAATAGATAAAACATTGGTTATTGAGTCTTGTTTAAAGTTTAGATGTTTGTTTTGGGGTCAAAATAGTTGAATTGTAGTTATAAATGAAATAAAACAACAAAAACAATAAAATACATAAGTTAAAAAAACAATGAAATACATAAGAAATTATCAAAACAAGAGATAACATAAGGAATAACCTGGCTCTTCCAATTTTTTGTGTTGTATTATTATTCCAAATGGTCTAATAAATATATGTAGTGAAAAAGAATACTTAAATATGAATAATCTATGATTTATGGGCAGAAATGTGAATTTTATGACCTTATTTGCATAAATTAGCATAAATATGCAAATGAGTGAATTTTTCAAAAATTTGAAATTACCATAGTATTCTTTACACTTCACTTGACATGCATGCAAATTTTTGCGGCGATCGGCGGTGAAACGGCCGAGATCTTAGGGGGGGGGGGGGGGGGGGGGTCAAATTGACCCCCCCCCCCCAGTAAAAACCTGGTCTGAAATAGCCCAGTTAAGATAGGGTTAAAGCCCCACTGCACTACTTGTACCTCTATATAGCAAACAATGCCTAATCTGTGACCATTGGTACCCCATGATCCTCTTTTTCTTATGTTAATTGAGAGCTGATTTGATAAGATAACCACCTGTCAGTGACCATGCAAGGAGGTTTAATCCCTCCTGGTGAAACTAGTGCGGTGGGGCTTTAAGACAAATATTGCTACCTTGAGTCTAGGTTTCTTGTGTCCGTACTCGTTGACCTCATTGACCGGAGAGGTGTCTTGAATGGCCTCGGGAGACATGTAATTGAGTGTCCCGACCTGAGACTCCTTGACCACGCTGGTGTGGTCATTCTGGATGGCGTTGGCGATCCCAAAGTCAATCAGCTTCAGACTGGCCTCCACAAAGATGAAGTTGGCCGGTTTCAGATCACTGTGTACGATGCCTAGAAGCAATGGGGGAAGTGAATTATAATTTATTACATATTATTACCCGTATCAGACATCTGAGCAGTGGTTTTACAAAATCATATTACACTTTTTGTAATCCTAAAAGAGATAATCAGTAAATATGAGACTATATTACTCTCTCATGAAAAGCCTATGGACTTTACGAGTTAAAAAAGCAGAACATAAAGTCTCATATTCACTGCGCCATATTGTGTCATTTTCAATGGGCATCTATTATGCATACGAGAACCTGCAAACTTTGCGCGCACTCTATTGTGATGCAATAATCACACCAAATTAGGTACACTGTTTGCAGTGTATCAATAATTTGGTCAAGCACTGGATGCACAGTGCTGGTTTGACAAAGTTTCTTCAGTTCTTTGAGACTGTCATGGTTGATTTATGTATTTGCTCTAGATGTCTGATTTTGATAACAATAACAATATTGACTGGCTTAACTTTCGGGAGATACCACATATATTGCCCTCACAAGACCCATATTGCCCTTGTCTTTGACTCGGGGCAATACGAGTCTAGTTTGGGAAATATATGTTGTATCTCCCTCAAGGCCAGTCCATATTATATAAAGAACTGACTCATACTGTGAGGCTTTGGATTGATCAGAATAAAACTAAATTGATTAAGTTTGTTGAACATCACACAAATGTTTGGTCCAAACAATGAGCTTTTTCTTGACATTTCTTTCTGTATATATTTGAACTATCATAATATATTCTTCCATACCGACATAAAGAGAGAGAGAGCTTACAAATCATTTTGTAATCTTTACCAGAACTCAACCTTCTATAAACAAGCACCAAGAAAAAACTATTTCCTGCCATCAAGCCTGGTGACACAACAACCCACCTTCTTTATGAATGACATCGACAGCTTCCAGCATCTCCTGCCAGTAGCACCACATGTGATGAGGGGAGAGGTTGTCTTTATTCTTCTTGAGGAATGTAGCCAGGTCAATGGAACCGCATTCCATTACAAGGTAGATGTAGTCCTCTGTGAGCTCACTGAAAATATTTGGAAGAAGAAAAAAAAACTTGGTAAACATGATTTTGTCTCCGAGTTGTACGACACTTGGAATGTTGCCAGATCTATGGAACCGCATTCCATTACAAGGTAGATGTAGTCCTCGGTTATCTCACTGAAAATATTTGGAAGTTAAAAAAAATCTTGGTCTGAAACATGATTTTGTCTGGGTTGTAGGACACTTGCTTCCTACACTAACTGAATTCCTTACATTGAATAAAGATAAAGTTGAGTTCTGGTCATGCGATTGCATTGTGAAAGAAAAGGTGTGGAATAGATCAGAAAAGTTGATCATGTAGCATGTAAGTATTCGTGTGTACTGCAAGGTTCTGGAGTCATCGAAATCATAACAAATTTGACCCAGTCATGGTAAAGTAACAAGCCCTGTAAACAGAAAGATGTTTATTGGACTACACAAATGGTCTCGGGCCTGCTTACCTTGACCTCCTTATCTTTCTATGCGCATTACTCAGCCAGTATACATTTTCTACCAAAATTGTTTGACAAATGACATTTATTTGTAATCTTGAACATTCAGTGTAAGTTACGTTTGATTCTGTGAGAATTCATTTTCTTTTTTATCCAGAACTCAAGTTTATCTTTAACAATACCTAACCCTAAAATAAACCAAAAACCCATTTGCAACCCGATTCTTTCAACAAAATAAAGCCTAGATTACGAACGACAAAGCAAATGTGTACACCGAAATGATAAGTCAGAAAATCTGCAAGGCCATCTAAATCTATCCAATCTAGACCATATCAAAATTAGTGTTGTAACATCATGGATATACCCAATTCCATTTAATCGCCAGTCAAAACCGGACGGTTTTCGGTTAAACAATTTTTTTTTTTTTTTTTAATTTAAATTATTATTATTATTTTATTTTTTTAAATAAATTTTTAATGATTATTATTTTTTTTATTTATTTGTGTTTTAATTGGAAAATCAAAAGAAATCACACTATAACCAAATAATGTACATAATTAGAAACAAATCACTGAACAAAAACAAAGACTTTACTGTCGGGCATGCTTTGGAACAATGACTGGGTTTCACTTTGTTTATGAAGCTAATGAATCTAGTACGCAAGTGTATTCATGTTTATAGCTCACGATCGTGATATTACAGAGGTCAGGATTTGGGATTTAAATGGCATCAGTGAAATATTGTGTATGTATTTCAAGGCTGGGAACTTAGTTTTTTACGCATCAACTTCTCAATCTACATTCTTGCAATTGATTGTTATCGTGTAGATTGTTGCTCTGCAATTCAACATTCAACAGTCAGGGCTGACTTATGATGACTATAATGTTGCCCAAACTTGTTTTTGTTCAATTATTTTGTCTCTAATTATGTACATTATTTGTTGAAAATGTGATTTCCTTTGATTTTCCTATAAAAAGAAATTTTTTTTTAAATTTTTTTTTTTTTTAAATATAAAAAAAACAGGTTAACGAAACCGTCCAATTGAAAACGGATGGTGCCATGGATGGTCGGATACCAGACGATTAAACGTTTGACTACAGCACTAATCAAAATAATGAATAAAAATACATGTAGTAAGATTCTTCGTCTACTTACTAGTCATGGAGGTGGATGATCCTTTTGAATGTTTTGAGTCTCGCTAGTAGAGTGATTTCATTCATGTAACTCTGCATGGCCATCTCATCAGCAAAGTCCAGCTTCACGTACTTCAAAGCCCACAGCTTCTTACTGTCTTCACTGAGAACCTGGAAAACCTGCACAAGATAGGAAGAAGGGTATGGAAAAGAGGTTGATGATATCAGTCATGTCATATCTCTTATGGAATACATGTGTAACTCTTGTCGTTATTCCCTATCCTTCCTATCTTGTTTTCTCTGCTATAGTCTATATCATCTAGACATCTACACACCATTGGATTACTTTCACTCTCTTGCTATACCTGGGAAATGTTTCACAAAACTTGTCATCAATGACAAATGACAATTTTTGTTATAAGCTACTGAAATCCTTAATCCTGATTGGATATCAACAGATTCGTCACTGATTTTTGTTATTTGTCATTTAAAAAAGGCTTTGTGAAACGGGTCCCAGTATATGTCTCTAGCTCATCATCTTTGTGTAAACTTGATTATTGTGTATCTTACCATTTTAAAAGTTATCATCATCATCTCATCTTTATCACTGTCTTTATCTTGCCCATTATCATCTCTTTCATCATCCTCATCATCATCATCTTTATAACGATCAATGTCATTATTTTCATCATGTAAAGACACATAGAAGTGGGCTCTTATGGGGAAATTGAAACTTTTCGGGTGTTTACCCAATAACAGGTGTTGTCAATCAACAGGATCAGCCTTCATTTTTTTATGACCAACTGGCTTTAAGCATTGCTTTGCCTTTTCCCCATATGGTAAACTCATCATCTAACATTTGCATCACCGGAAGATGAAGGCTTTCTGAGGCTCTCTTGGTTGGCCTATGGGTTTGCTTTGTGCAGACTTGTACACCCATTAATGATATTTCCAACAAGTCTGGTGTCAGCGAAGTAATGACCTTCTGCAGATGGAAACCAACAACTCTCTCCCTTTAAAGGCCATCTTTAAACGCCACACAGCGAGGTCACTGACAGGTGGCTATCTCATCAACTCAGCTCTCAAATGACACAAGAAGATTAGGCATTGTTTTCTATATAGAGGGAGCAAGTAGCTACAAGTAAGTAGTACAGTTGGGCTTTAAATCCTTGTTCTCACCTTGGATGAGCCACCTTTACCGATGAGTCTAATGATGGAGTATCCCTTGCCATTCACCTGTATCAAGTTCTTAGACTTGGGTTGAGGGACGGGGGCCACCTGTAAAGAAATGGACAAGAACTTTATATTTTTTTTAAAAATTAAAGATTTGTCATGTAAGGATACTTTACCAGTTGATTTTATTCTTTGAGCTAGAAAAGAGACAAAAAGTGACAAAAACATGCCAATGTCCTTTATTTTTTGTGCAATATGGAGCATGAAAACATCTGAAAAGGAGGTGGCAGGCTTAAAATCAGGCACGAGTCTGAAAACTAATATGAATGTAATGAGCAAAGGACTGACATTTACACATGTGTATATAAATAAATCTAAAAATTTCTTCAAACCATTCTTTCCCTTTCCCTCTCCTTCCCTTTTTTTGGTGCTAAACAACAAGGAACATCCCATATTGAATGTGATTATGAACACTAAGTTTTCTATAGTGATTTGAATCTTCATGAAACTAATGTAGTCAAGAAACAATGGATAAATGAAGAACAAGATAAATTATATACACAAGCATGGAATGGGATGTAAAGACATAAGGGGTAAGTCTACTGGAAAGCAACTTGAAACACGTGAGTTGGAACGATTACATACTGTGTACAAGTACAAGATCTGACTTGATATTCACTAGTATCTTTTGGCGGCAAGACATCAATCTACAATTGCCACTCTCCACCCAGGTGAATGGTATAGGGAGCTGGTACAAGGAAATTCTTTGAACGCTTTAGCACCTTATCATGACACTTCAGCTACAACCAGATTGATCATATCATCCTTTTTATGAAGCGCAGTAGAGTACATTTGTATAGTGGCTGCAATATATCAATGGACATTATGATTTCTAAAGAACTAGACACTAATGAGAAACCCTTTGAAAAGATCTGTAGAATTCTCTGTGCATCCTCCAAATTGTATTCTTCTTGCCTTAAACAAACAAAAATTGACTATAGACATGACTCACCATCTGTGGTGCAGGTAATTGATAGTTGGGTTGCATGCCAGCAGGGGTAGGCTGCTGGAAAAGCTGTTGCTGAAGAGGTTGCATTCGTTGTACATCTACATGTGGCATGCTCATTTGTGGCACTGAATGTTGTGGTTGCTGTTGTTGCCATTGTGGTTGTACTGGCATCTGAGGATGAGCCATTTGTTGAACTGACATTAGAGGGTCATGTCTGCATGTGAAAATGGTATGTAAAAAAAGGAAAGAGTTGAATACAATAATAATGGAATAATAATAAAAGGTTTATGAAATATATAAAGAATGGCAAGAGCATGGACCCTTCGACTATAAAAATAAGGAAAAACATGGCTTATTATACAATGCCTGTATACACCATTGCTGAGTAAATATTATTAAATTTCAACATCACATAATCTGCTCAAAGTTTTAATTTAACCCATGGTTAAAATCTTCATTTACATAACCCATGATTTAAAATTAGCCCAAAATAAGCGTGACACAGTCAAAGGTCCAATATTTGACGCATTCAAGGCACGCTTAATTTGTGCTAATTTCAAACCATGGGTTATGTAAATGAGGGTTTAAACCATGGGTATATTCAAACCTCCTTTGTGAATTTGGGCATCTATGTTTAAGGGTACAATTTAACACCTTTTTTGCTCAACAGACCACAAACATACAAGTACCTCTGCATCGAGTTGGCCCATTGGCCCGGCACAGTCGATTCTGCCCCCATCTCAATGGTCCTCTCTTTGAAGGTAAAAGGATTCCTGTCCGTCTGGGTGAGATCCCTAGGTGTCGTCTGGACGCCCGAATCGCTTTCGTTGGTCTTCTCCGTGATCGGTGCTAGAGGTCCAGGCTTTGTCTCCTGGGGGCTGCACTTCAGTGGTCTGATGTCATCGTCATCATCATCGTCGTCATCATCGTCGTCGTCATCATCCTTGGATTCCTTCTTGAGCTGAGGCAGACTGGTCCTACTGACTCTCATCGGCATACCAATGTTACCACTGTAACATTACAAAAAGCATTTATCATCAAATATCCAAAGAAACAGTTACATGTACATAGTGAATTAGTAATATCACAAATATGAAATTTGAATACGAAAGAATTCTGTTAATTGTGAGTATTTTATAAGCATTTATGAAGCCTTTCTCAAAAGGTAGAAATATGTGTTTTTATGAAGTTCTAAACATCAATGAAGTTCAAATACATTTGAAAAATGGAGAAGAATTTGCATGACCTGATATGCATGTAAAAATGAAAAACAAAACTCAATTAAGTCAAGCTATTTTAAAATTGTCTTGCATCTCTTTTACCTTCTTTTGCGTCTGCTACTTCCAAAGACGCCAAACTTGTTGGCGACGTCGGGAGTCTGTAATCCTGAAAACCTTGATCCGGCATTAATGGGCATTGTGTCACTTTCATGATCACTATCACACTTTGGGTGGGAAGATATTCTGGAGAAGAAACATAGAAAACAGGGCAGTAAATAAAAAAGATTAAACAGAATAGGCAGTGCTAGAGTGGGTCAAAGTATTTATAATATATCCATCATGTAAAATAAAAAGCATTAGTTTAGGCAATGATAACTGTAAGTTAAGAACCCTTCTCTAGACTGTGTCATTATTTACAGAAATCAGTGTGTAGTAATTTAACGTTTGAAAATAAAGTACAACTCTGTTGTTTTACATTAATGTGCTTTGTATCTCTTGAGTATTTATATATCTCTATTGTACATTTCTGTAAAGAATATTGTATATATCGAAAGGCATTCCTACAATCATTTTGGGGGATGACATGTACATGTATGTTAAGCAGAAGAATTCTCTCACCTTGACCCAACCTCAGGTCTCCTGAAACTAATAGTGGTGTCAACATACTCCATGGAACTAGGCACATGGGGGGATATCTTCTCTTCTGATGCACTGCAGAACAAGGAAATGAAGGAAACAAGGTTAAAAATTGAATCATTCAATCATTTTAATATGTGGGTGGCAATTCCCACCCAAGAATGGTCTTTATTCTTTATGCATATGTTGGGGCTAAAGAACAGGGGCAGTATTCTGAGATTCATTTGATCATTTTATGTTAGTGAGATAAAATGCAATTAAAATTTGCGGCAGATCACCATTGATTTAGTTTTTTTTTAATCTTTTTTTCCTATTCTTTCTGTATGGATTTTGTTTGCTTCACATCTCATGAATGACATGTGCCATATGCATTATTATTGATCCTAACGAAGAGATCTTTTGTATTACTGATGCATGACATCATTTAGGCGCCATTTTGTTAATTTTTATTATTAACCATATTTCCATTATACATTGTCATTTATGAATGATATTTGATATGCATAAACTTGACGTCATGGGTAAAATTTTGGTCACACCCATGTCAGTGCAAACGCCAAAATTTGAAATTGGTCAAAATGCTTATTGGACCAATTTACTACACGTTTCACACCTTTTTGTACATTTAAAAATAGTCGATACCAGCAGTCAGAATGCGAATTTCATACATTGTGTGCTGTTAGCTAGCAACAATTAATGTGTGCAATTCGCATTCTGACTATTGAAATACAATTATTTATAACATGTATATAACAAAGTTGTAAAGAGGCACTTAAAAAAGATTTGTATTCTAAATTTGATTACATTATAATAATGGTCTATTTGAAATTGAGATGGTTGATGTTTCCCATGACACTTACTTGTGAGAAGGCTGTACAGGGGCTGGTGCTGCACTCATAGTTTGTGGTCCTGATAAAGAAAAACAAGACATAATTGTCCTCTTATAATCTAAAAGAATTGGATAATTTGGTTTTCTCCCTCTTCCTTCCTAGATAAGAAAATATTGTCCGCTGTCATTGAGCCAAGGTAAAATATGTGTATTCAAATGCACAGCTCTTGACACTTTATTAAGATAACAATCATCATAATGTATCATTATCAATCATTATATTCATACATGAGCTGAAAACGAATGAAGACATAACTGACCATCTTGTGACTCCATTGGTTCTTGTGAGTCTAGGAGAATGGGAAGTCCGTTCTTGACCCGATGGAGGGCCTCTGAGAGCCGGGGGTCAGAGGTAACCTTGAAACCTTTCTCCAAGATGCCAAAACACTTCTTCATGTCACCTGTGGGGATTAAAATATATGAAATCAGTCCGTTAAACAGGGTTCATATAGAAATTTTGGAACTGAATTTCATGACATTCCATGAACTATTATTGTTTCCCGCAAAACATGTTCACATTTCACACTTACATGAAAGAATGCAATACCTAGAACGTTAATGTCCTGAACCTTGGCGATTATATACAACAGAAATGCGTAATTCACTGCATGTTTAATGTAGGGTTAAGAGCAAAATGTAAGAAACATACTGCATTGAAGGATGCAATATTATATTTATACACGTTCATGTATTTTATTTACCATGAATTTCTTCAAATTTTGCTGCCTCCAAATGCACAATGGCCTGCTTCCGGACGTTGGCCCTCGCAAACTTGAACATCATGCGCCCGTCATCTACATCATGGGTTCTAAAACATGGAGGGAAAAAAAGTTTGAGCTTCGTTTCTTGCTTACATGTAAATTGTTAAAGGAAAATCCAATCCAAATAGACAACTACTCCAAAAAAAAGCAGAAAAATTGGAGATGCAAACTGATGAAAGTTTCAATGAAATCTGACTACTGTAAATATAAGTATTTTTGAAACTTGTAACCACTATACGTACACTGTATGGGCACTTCAAATTGGCTGAAGCGGTAATGTCAATGTGATGTAGTGCCGGACTACTTTCCCATCTGTTCCAACACATAAAAATGACTAAAATTTAAATTTATCAAAAAAGAATGGCTGAGGGTCCTAGAAGTCTATAATAATATGCTATCTATGATCAATTTTGAGTAGAGCCCCAAGGGAGAAGAAACGTATGAGAAAAAGGTGGTATTTTTGTACACTACCAATTTGAGATGCCCATAGACTTAGTAATCTCATATTTCAAACTTTCATAACTTCCTTACTACTAATCCGATTCATTTCAAATTTTGCCATTCTGTTTCTATTATTTTTCTGCAAATCAACTTATTACAAGGGTTGGATTGCCCTTCAATGTAAACAAATAAATAAAGCAAAAATTAAAAAAAATAGAAAGTTGAAACCTACGCTTTGAGGTGAGCAAGCTTGATGATGATCCTGGCATACGCCGGGTCTTCACAGTACTTGTCAATGGGGATCTGTTTGGTGGCACGGTTGAAGGCCAGGCTCAGGAATCGGTAGCGACTGGTCTCCTCTGCGTGTACCGTGTGAGACTCCACCAGGGAGAGGTAGGCGAGCCATTCACAGGGTTTGTTGCCATGCCGTGCAAGCTCAGACATACACTCTGTGTGGTCTGTGCATGGGAATCATATAAAAGAGTCATTGATCAATACTACTATTTTATATTTATGTCACATTTATGAAAATGAAAATAACATGTGATTATGATTGTAAAAGTCATTCTATTAGTATTACTTTTAACTTTAAGAACATAGAAAGAATATTACTTTGAGAGCTATTTACCCATGCACAGCCCAATGTTGTCAAACCCTGCAAACTACAAAAAAACTTGCCTGTCATGCTGTGAAATCTTGCCAGACTGGTCAAGTTGCCAGTGGTGTTGTCCCGTGTATTGCCACTCATCTGAGCCATCTCCTCTGACTCCTGAAGAAATATGCCTGGAGATTTGAGGTAATAACATAGTATGTTTTAAACATTATTGCATAAGCCATAATTATTAATAATATGCAAATTCAATTCAATTATTGAATCCCATGTTATGAAAAGAATGTTTTCAAAGGAAACCTGTAATGACTTAAAAAATGTCCTGTTATCTTTTCTTGTAAATATGAGGAAAATGTTTTTCATCAATATTACAATAAATTTTAAATTACAAAAGGGTGATATGAATTATGATGTCACACTCACAATCTCAGGCAGGTACGCTTGATTTATAGAATATATCATGTGGAAATGTGGAATAATATTATTGGACTTTAATTAGAAAAAATATGGATGACGTCGTCATAATCTTCTTTCATGGGCATGTAACAACTAGTCACTAGTAGCCTAACAGTTTAATTTCAACATGGAGCTCAATTTCGAAGAAGAAAATCCAGAAAAAAGACCCTTATACTAGGCCTTAAAGTATGCATCATACAGTCAATCTGGTGGCGCTAGTTCAGAAGTCTAGCCAAAATTTGACCAGTAACTCCGGCGTGGACATACTGTACCCTACTAAAACATACCGGTACCCAAAACTGGCAAAAGAAAGTAAATATTCATCAAATGTCCAAATAAAGGTCATGATTATAAAGTCCATATGTTTGTTATCTGTTTTGTGTCAATTTTCTTATCTTTTTCGTAGTATTTTTCCTAAAAACAAAGACTTATAGATCTAGATCTAGTTATCTATGCACTTTCTCACAGGATTCACGGCAAACTGCAGCATAATACAATTGCATACCCTTTCGACGGTGGGGTGTGGGCGCGCGCACGCGTTTTCAGTTAGCGACCGTAAACTAACTGAACACATGTATTTGGAGGGACGACATTCCACGTCGGAGTTACAGGTCAAATTTTGGCTAGACTAGACTTCTGAACTAGCGCCAATCGGGTTAGTGCATAGAACCGACGTAGGCCCCTAGTAGACTATATCGTTATTATTAGCCTAGATCTAGGCCTAATTTTGGAGAATAAAATTATTAGATGCGTTGGATACGATTGAATCCACTAACAAATAAAATTGCCAATTTATTTGGCTCATTTTGCCCCGGTTTTGGCATTTATTTACATGTCATGATGTAGGCTAGACTAGATCTAGAGGTCTAGAGTCTACTATCTAGGCTACTTTTCTAGGGCAAAGTTGACAAAGAAACTAGAAAGCAGACCTTATGCCTGTGCTCAGTTTCTGTCTCTAAAGTCTAAAGGGAGGAGCCGACCCTAGTCACCCTACCCAAATAAGAGGTTAACGAACGAAAGAGACAGACATTTTCGGTCCCGTTGCCGAATTAGACAGCACTACGCTAGCTACGTTAGCCTATGAGCCGCCGTCCCACGGCCAACGGGCACCGTACGCCCCGCCTGGCCCGGGCTAGGCCTACGTGCGAAGATCCGGCGTGACTTTCCTCGGGAATCAAGCATGTCAGCTCAGGCAGCGTGTCGTTTACGCTAAATTTAGCGGAACTGTACATACAACCACATTTATCAACCAATCAACAATCACAATCATTTATTATATGAATGGATTAAAATGCATTTACTTACCTGGGAACTTGTTTCCTTTTCAATAACAAAGCAGTGTGTCAAAATTGTTTTCACGGCGATTTAAATTCACCACCAGCTGAAAATGTCATGTGACGTTCATAATGGAAGCTGATTGGTTGTTGTTTCATAGTCTAGATGATCAGTCCGTGATTTTCGATTGTCGATGGAAGATGCCCACACAAATTAGGTAAACAATCCCAGTGCCTCTCATTGTCATCATCATCATCACTATTGTTATAATTGTTATTATTTTGTATTAATATCATTATCATAATTAATATAAGATCTAATTCAACATCATTATCATTAATATTATCGTTTTATTAGTGCTGTTATTATCATCATGATGATGTTATTATTTATATTTATATTATAATTATTATTGTTGTTGGTATTATTATTACTGTACTATAACAGGGAGTGCAGTGCCCCCCCCCCCCCCCACTTTTTCAAGTTTTCCAAAAGTGCCCCTTTTTACAAAGGAAAAGTGCCAATTCTTTTTTGTACCCTAAATTAAAAGCAACTTAGAGCCCCCTTTTTTTCTTTAATCCACCCCCCCCCCCCCCAAGTTTATTTATAATTGATAAACATGTAATTATGTTACTTATAAAACTCATCAGGATTTGTTTTTATCCTCTTTACAATTAAGATGTCATTTTACACACTGCAACCTCACAAATCTTATTTTGTTGCTCGGTTGCTTCCATCACTCGCAAATTAATATTAAGACCATCACACCCAACTGCAAAGTACGAGGCTAATTAAGCAGTATCTGGGACCATGCAAACAGAGAAACACATATTGATATTAACCCTCGTATTATCCATAATGTAATCACAGCCATAACAACGTAGGGGCATATGTCTAAAAATGGTATGTTCCCTCTAAAGTTTTCCTTTGTAGATGCCCCTTTTTACAGAAGGTGCCCTTTTTTTGTTGGTCCCCCCCCCCCACCCCCTCCACGTTGGAAAATGCTTGGCAGCCCCTGTCTCCATCTCTCTCTTCTCTCTCTCTCTCTCTCTCTCTCTCTCTCTCTCTCTCTCTCTTAATCTAATAGACCGACAGACAAATAAAGGAAATTTAAAGGAGAATCATCAAGGGAATGAATAACATGCTAATAGATATTATATGTATAGGCTAGGGAAATATATAACACTCTCAGTGTTAGGCCCAACTCTATGTAGATAAATAAATTTTCAACAGAAATTGTTTTTACATGGTGGGAAAGAAATTTTTTTGGACATGGTGTCATACGACCAATGAGATTGCCTACCTGTACAAGAACCCATTTTATTCTAGTAGATTTAAAAATATATCACAGATCATTTTACAAGTTTTAAAACAAAGATTGTGGTGTAAATCAAGGATTCGTAATACACATCAGTATGTAATATCACATATTCAAGGTAATATAACACTCCAAAGTCTCCAAGGATGATCTGGAAATTTACTGCATAACCTAGGACCTACTTTTTTCTGTGCAAATTGAGCACCTAAATGAACATACCCCTAGATGAAAGATCCTCAAATTTTGAACCAAAAATTTACAAGGTTCTCAACCGAGGACGTCCTTGTTTTGCAAGTGGTCGTCAAAGTTAAGGTAAAGTTTTTACGATTCTCCTCGGTACACACCTACCCACGCACACGCATCTGCACACTCAAATACATGTTACAATTTCCCTTTCAAATGGCTACTATATTTACTGCAAGAAGGAAGTAAATTGGATGAGATTTATCACTTTATTGCAATACGGTCAACTGGATATGAAGAGCTGCTGTACAGAGATAATTGAAATAAGATTGCATTTGAAAAGAAAAACATTATTTACTGATTTAATTACCTGTACTGTAGAGCTGAATAGGGCAACAGTGATTTTACTCCAGTTAAATTTTGTGCCTGTAATATTATTTCACATTAATTTGACAAAATAAAATAATAATGGTGATGATGATAATGAAAATAATAATCTTCATCATCATCAATGTAACAGTATAATGTTAAACCTAATTTTGAAACACAATAAATATTAAACACACAAGACTGTAAAAGATGAGGATATATTTTGTTAATGATCTGAAGATAAAAGCTGGATGATACTTTGAAAAGCCAAGTTCATCAGTCAAATAAGTTTAACACAGGTTGGTATATTTGACTGATATATCCTCTTGATAAATAGTCGCTTTGTGTTTGATGCCGAGATTCAAGTCAAATTCCCTTTTGTGAAAAGGAGCAGCCATATTCATTGGTGTTTGTAAGCTCTCAGGAATCTATTAAATCCCCTTTACTATAGAGCTGCTCCTTTGGTCTTTATCAGTTGTGTAAATCTGATTACATCATCATCTATGCATCTCTCTCATTCTCCTCGCCTCTCTACCAGGAGAATCTAATTCATCACTCCTTTTCATAAGTATTGCATGAATATTTTCAACCTGGTATTTCACTATCAGAAAGCCTCTTCTTCTTCTTTTTCTTCTTCTTTTTCTTCTCCTTCCTTGTGTCCGTTATCCTCTCTTCTTCCTCCAAACTGTTATCAATTACAACCTTTTCAATCCTTATTTTCTTTGGAATACGACCAGGTATCCTGTTTTCTACATTGCTATCTCCTTCATTGTGTGTTTCATGTTCATTTCTCGCTCTCTTCTTTCTCTTTTTTGTTCTCCGTCTGTCATTCCTTTCTTCACTTTCCATTTCATCATGTCCATTGTGTCTGCCCTCTTCTGTATCTTCACCCTCCTGCCCTTGCTCATTCGCTCTTTCAGTGCGAGATTCATTTGATATTCCTCTGCTGGTTGTCATGGATACACCATCACTCTGACCAACATTCCTCTCGTTTACAGCTTGTGTCTCATCACCTCCTGAGTCGCTTTCTTCGTCCACGATCTCCCTCGAGACGATCTTCTGCCCACGCTGGTTCAGTTTCTCCCTCAGTTCTGGCAATTTAGTGTCGTGAAGATGGCAGACAATATCTGTAATATAAAACATGAATGTGACAATGACTTTGTCAATATGCATCCCTAGCAAATGAAAACAAGATCACATTTTCAAACTCTGAACATGATTTACATGGAGAAAAGCTTAATTGTATTATAGCTTTGTTTATTTTACTTGGGATCACAGCATTTGGCCATTCTGCTATTCAATCAAAACACTCAATCAACATACAATATACAAAGACCGAAGAGCAACTGTTCTATGCAATACATAATTATTTATCAAATGAAACATTCTCATTAATCCAGCATTAAAATCTTAAATTACTTACAATTTTTACTCAAGTGCACAGTCTTTTCTTTCCCTTCACATATGGTGAAATTGCTTGTAGCACAATGTACCATTTTCTTTATATACCTTCACTTTTATTTACATCATATTTTTTCACAGTGAATTAAAAAAAAATAGCTTTCCCAAACTTTTAAAAAGGAGCAAAGAGTCATTCAGTAGTTTGGATATTTCCCCTCAATCTGTGGATTCATTTTATTAGATTTTAGATAACGGTGAATTGGAAATACATTCTTCCAAAGATATTCATAGAATAGCATCCTCAGAGATTACTTTGCCCATTTTCATCTTGCACATACCCTCATAAGTCTTGAACCTGTAATTGTGCACATATTTCACTTTGAGTCTGTACCAGTAATAGGTAAGCTTCTGAGGGGATGGTACCCTGGAAGAAAAGATAAAAAAAGAAATATTGTACAATCACTCAACAAATATATTCAATAATTCAGCAAATAAAATAAATTAAAAAGTAATGAAGATAATGATATCTATCATAATGAATATTTTGGTAGAATGTAGCGTACATATCCACCTAAACCTTAAATGGAACTCACTGTACTCTAACACGAAACTGGCTCTGTCTTGGATACCGATTTCAGTGCTCCTGTTCACAGCATACAAGGCAATGAATTCCATCATGGCGGTAATAATTCAAAAAACAAACAAATCTGTGGTTTGTCGCAAAAGTTGCAAAAATGCCTAGTTGGAAAATACAATTTTTTTTTATACTTTTCTTTTTTTGGACAAAAACTGAATCATCAAATTTCCAAAAAAAGAAAAGTGCTCCATATCTTCCAATTTGGCCATTGAAAAATGCTTTCTTTGAAAATCTTTTTTTCCGGCCAAAGTATGTACTTTTTTTAAATTTAAATTGTAATTTCCAAACTACTATTTAGTTTAATATTTCATCTTCTTCATACATGCAATAGCATATGATATATAATAAAAATGTTAACCATTATCAAAGAAGAAAGAAAGAAAAAAAATTGTATTGAAAATATTAATATTACCTTGGAAAGTCATCCAGTAAAGCCATCCAATCTATATCTTGTTCATCATGGATATCCATGTTGTATACCCTGCACAGAAAAAGGTGAAAAAAAGATGAAAGTCAAATTGAGTGTATTCTCCACATTCGAGGGATGCCACATTATAATATCCAAGCAAAATATCTGGGGCAAAATGATAATATTAATAATGAAAATAAATAATAACATTAAACATTTGTTTATAGTGCATAACACATTGGCATAATTGCATGGATCTATGCACTTAATTTATAATTGGATCTCTGAATTACAAAGAACATCAAAATGCTTCTCAACACTGATGAAGATGATGATAATGATGATGACGAAAATGATGACGACGACGATGATGACGATGATGACGATGATGAAGGAGATGAAATGGAGGCACAATGACCCAGTGGTAGAGCAATCGTATCCAGAGTGGTCAAAAAACAAATATTCAGATATGTCAAATTGGAACATGGAAGGAGTATTAAAGCCCAACGACACTACTTATTGCTACTTGCGCCCTCTATATAGCAAACAATGCCTAATCGGTGACCATTGATCCCCCATGGTCCCCTTTTTCTTATGTGATTTGATGAGATAACCACCTGCCAGTGACCATGCAGGGAGGTCTAATCCTTCCTAGCCAAACTAGTGCAGAGGGGCTTTAAGTGATGTATGCAAAGCACATAGTTCTTCAAAACTTACTTCTCTATAAGCCTGATGTTATCCTCTACATTCCAGCGCCCCTTTGAGGTATAGCGAGTTTGGTAGTCAGCAGCAACCCATGATACAATGTGAATCCTGATATAGTGAGAGAGAATATAGGACATGCATATTAGAGCTATTGTCAGCACTGATATCAGCAACATGAAATGCCTAGATGTACCATTAGCAACTGAATTATTCATACCCCTTGTAAATTTGATGTGTTTTGTATTTGTTCGTAACTCAAGAATGAAAGGTGGACTGGTTGACTTGGGGCTTTGAATAATTTTAGATGTAAGCTATAATATGTCACGTTATTAAGAAACATAAAAATCTGGACAAATCTATTTTTACATACTTAAAAAATTACAATTCTTAGTAAGGGTATGCATAATTTAGTTGTTCAGTCCATATATCTGTGATGAAAATGCATGACTGAACAGGGGTGATGGTGAGCACTAAAAATAAAAAAATAAAAATTTTAATTGTTTTTTTTTTTTCCTTTAAAAAAAATAGGATTCAGGGGGAAGAAGAAAAGAAAAGAAATCTGGAAAAATAATCTGGAAAGCGATTTTAATCGGGTAATTATCAGGCCTGGACTGAACATAACAATGTCAAAGAAACTGTCAGGGTAAGGAATTAACGTTGGTGACAGTATTTTGCAATCTTGAACAAATACATTATGTAATATAACTTGATGTTTACCATTCCATCCTGCACTGATGAACATTCCTGGTTTCCATGGCGTCCCCGACCTTGACCCATGGGATGTTGAAGAAAAGCTTCTCAACGTCGTGGTCTTGGTTGAAACCGGACAATTCCTTGACCACTCTCACCAGTCTCTCCCTCTCCTCATCCGACCAGAAACCAGAATCTAGGGTTAAATGAAAAATAATATCAGCCATAAAGAAGTTAAAGCGGGAGAATTGTGTCTAAGTTAGCTGGGGTCTTAGGATTGCTTAGGAATGTTGAAGAAAAGCTTCTTAGTGTCCTGATTTTGGTTGAAACTGGACAATTCCTGGACAACCCTCACTAGTCGCTCCCTCTATCATCAGACCAAAAACCAGAATCTAGGGTTAAATGAAATATAATGTCAGCCCTAAAAAAAGTAAAAGGGGGAGGATACTAAATCTCTATGGAGAAATCACCTATTTTATGATTTTTGACAAGTGAACAGTTTCCATGGAATTGCCCAATTGTCCTTTGGGAAAACATTTATCTACATTTGCCACTCTCCACCCAGGTGTAGTAAAAGAGTATCTCGTAAAAAATTATTTCATAAATGCTTTCAATACCTGAGGGCAGCTTGGGCAGATAAAGCCAGCAAACGATAGGACTTTGTAGGTGCTTTGATCATCCCCTGGGATGGACATGTTCACAATTTTAATGTAGCAACTTTTATCATTATTAAAACATACTTCCATTTCCTGAGATCTTGAATCTGTCGCAGAGTGACCTCCCACTGCGTCCCATCTTCTTGGCTATCTGACTCCATCTGGTTCCCATCCTCATGGCTAGGTTCTTCATCCTGTGAACCTCCTCATTAGAAAACCTGTTTTGAGAGCAGTAGTAATAATAACAATAATAATTATAGTACTACTTCTTCTAGTAATGATGATGATGATGATGATGATGATAATAATAATAATATTAATATTAATAAATAATAATAATAGTAATAATAATAATAATAGTAACACTTCATATAGCCTTTTTTGCATTTATTGACCACGGAGTAAATGAGATCTCTTGTGAATTGTTGTTTAGAACTGCAAAATTTCAACACAGTTACATATACACAAGCTAAAACATAAATTAAATTTAAAAAACAAAGATAGACAATAATGTCCAAAAATATCATATAAAGAGAAGTACAAAAATAAACAAAGATAAATTAACAAAGTGAAACTGAACAGCGATATCATACAAACATCAGCTCAAATGGTAGTAAATGTTTTTTTATAGTAATTAACACAGAATATTATAGAATTTATGTTTGTTTTTTCAAGGTTCCTTCTCTTCAGAACTACATGTATTAGATGCAATCCCTCACCTGCCGAGATAATTTTGAGGATCAAAGATCTTCCTTGCTCTGATGTAGACATTATAAACAGGACGTTGGATTCCTTTTCCTGTATTGCGAACAAAATTGAAATGAAGATAAGTGTTACAGAAACCATCCGGCATATCCAGTAACCCTGCATGTACCCATCGTTTGCATTGTCTTTGTCACAAGCATTTGATGTGTAAGGCTGGATGGCTCAAGAACAAACAAGGCATGAGATCGGAAATGCCCTAAATTTTACATGAAGAATATTGAACACATTGTCGTTCCATGTAACATACATGTATATTCAACTGCAAAGTCAGATTTTCTCTAATGCAATTACATTTCAACCTCTGCCGGCAGCCTCAGTGAAATATAACATCACACAGAAAATTCTCAATGTGTCAGTTCTAATTCATGTATTTCCTTATATTGAGCTACCTGAGCATTAAATATAAAGAAACATCCACTCCATGTATGGAGCAAACGCGAGCAAGTAATATACTCACTGAGCTTCATGTGTATCAGCTCTTCATCAAACAGCTTTCTTATCTCCTTGGCTTCATCAGGATAATCATCTGCAAAGATCAACTTTCTGGGATCATCTATACCATATTTCTGTGGAAAAGTAAATAGAAAAGAGAAATGAAGATGGAGGGAGGGAGGGAGGGAGGGAGAGAGAGAGGGGGTGAGGGGGAGTGAGGGAGGGAGATTAAAGGGAGAGAGAAGGGGATAAAGACAGAAATAGGAAGGGACAAAGATGGCAGGAGAGAGATGGGGAGGGAGAGAGTGAATAGTTGCTTTCAACCTACAGATATTTTAAGCAGGGCTCCCACTTAGCCGAGTTGGAGCCTCGAGTTGTGGCGAGCTGGTGCGAGCTTATGGCAAGCCGTTTTATCATTAAAACATATTTGTTGATATCAAGCATTACCATTGCTTTACAACGTAAAATTATTTGTTGATATCAAGAATTGATTTCTTGATATCAAGAAATATGTTTTAATGATAAAACGGCTTGCCATAAGCTCGCACCAGCTCGCCACAACTCGAGGCTCCAACTCGGCTAAGTGAGAGCTAAACACTCTTAAGCCAAACAATTTATCCATAAAGAAGTACAAAATAAATTGGGTACATGAAACAGCTTTAAGTAAATATTCAACTCCTACTTTTCTGGCCACCATTATTCACAGCCCCTCCCCCCTGTTTTTTAACAGATTTGTATTTTCACTTCTTTGTTTCCAGCTGATCTCTTGATTTGAAAGCATAACTATTCCTTACCCTGACAAACAAATATTTAATTTGCCCATTTAATAAGGGTTTAGTTTGGAAGTCCATCTCTGCTGCCATAGATGAATGGCTGCCTAAATCTTTATTACCACGATATATATATATATATATATATATATATATACAATAATGCAAGCATTTAAGATGTGTCTTTGTAAAACATTCACAGTATGACAATGTAACACAGAACACAAACTCACCTTGCATATGTGGCGCATATTTTTTTTCAGCCTCTCGTCTTCCAGCCCTGTCCATGCACCCTCTCTCACAACAATGCCTATAATTTGCAACAAACAAAATTATATTAAACACAGTCTATTAAGAATAGCTAATGAAAACACAAAGTCAAGGGGCCATTTTAGACAGGTTTGTAGCACATATTTCTTCCTGGGATACACTGTTGGCGACCACTATTAGACTGGTGACAGGTGTTCCAGGTTGCCCCCGCCCCTTCAGTTATATGTACGAGCAATCAAATTTGTTTACAAACTAAACCAAGAAATATAGTAAGATAATAAAACCAAATATTAGTGCAGTATGAATAAATTGAAAAAAACTGAAAAAGATATTAATTATTTTAACAAGGTGGCAGAGTAGTCAACTACCTATGGCGTTTAGGAACAAGTTATTTTCCTATTTGTTGTACAGGACTAAAATATCATATGATTGATTTGAGCACCCCTCCCCCTAAAATCAGTGATTCTACCATAAATTTTCTTACTGTTTACCGGTATCCAAACTTTGAAACTGTTGAAACTTTTTCCAATATGTCTCTCACTTTCTTGCTTTCGTTCGAAGCACAAATATGGTTAGATTTCTCTTTTACGAAGTACTCACCCCTGTCCCTCAATTCCTGTCTTTCGGCAGCATCGAGACGGTTGATACGTGTCCCGTAACACTCCGTTTCAGAGCCCTCTTCACTGTCACTACTGAATGCATTTTCAGTCGTCTGCACTTGAGCTGCGTTTGCCATCACAAAGACATCAAGTTGAACTGTGTATTTAAAAAGAGAAACGGTGATACTGGCATTCGCATTTCATATCCTACAGTGGCAGGAATGACTTTAAGGAATGACCAGAAATTTCAACTTGAGTACCTCTCAAGTTCAAAACCTGACAATACATGATTGATATTAATGATGATGATAATAATAAAACAATGTGAAAGCTAAACTTAAAATAGATCTAGAATCTATACTCGATCTAAATTAATGATCAATATGTGTACCACCCTGGCTTTGAATTAGAACCTTATATCAAACAGATCTCCACAGAATCTGACAGAATTATTGGAGTCTCCATAAAATTTGTCAATCCAGCCTTCAAGATAATCCTGCTGAATGTGTACACTGTACATGCCAACAGGAAACACCACAGACTCCAGACACCTCTATCACGCTCTTCTAGATGAGGTCACACACCACATCTCGAAGACTTCCCCTTCAGCAAGCTTCATTATCACTGGAGATCTTAATGCTGACATCATGACCCCAAAACATCAATGGAAGAGGCAAGCAAAAGACCTAGCCTTCTTCATGCTCCACAACAAGCTCACAAGCCTAAATGACATATTTTCATGTCATAACCAGTACACATTTTGTAGTGATAATGGGCAATGCAAGTCCCACCTGGATTACATCATCGTCAACAAGGAGGCTAAAAACCTGTTTTCATCCTTTAAAATCGGACCAGAAATGCCGAAGAATGTATCAGATAATCTTCCCGTCTAATGGCAGATCAACATCCCAAGCACAGCCTCCAAACATACGACTATGAGCAAGAACCAGCATGTATCAGATAATCTTCCCGTCTAATGGCAGATCAACATCCCAAGCACAGCCTCCAAACATACGACTATGAGCAAGAACCAGCAGCCGTATGGATCTATACTAAGAAGATTCAAGGTCAAATGGACAGATCTCTCCAACATTAATAACAGGTACACAACTCCCCTTGAAGAAGCCTGCAAGTATCTATGGTACCAGTTACCTCCTGACCCATGTTGCCTTACTGCAAAACACGGAGAACAGGTTCTCGAAGACCTCACAGATGTTAGTAGTTTTAATAATGTCTTCTTTTTTTCTTTTTTGCTCCAATGTATATATATATTTCAATGTAGTTTCTTTGCCCATTTTTTACAACAATGTATAAATGGAATTTTAACGGTGATTGGAAACAAATAAAGTTCAAATCAATTCAATTCAATTCCTCATTTGTAAACCATTTTGATTCTGGGGACTGCAACGCACAGTCATGTGCCCCTCTTTTTCAGGTATTTTCTTAGGCTTCTCATTCATTTGATAATCGATATGTATTTCTTGTTTTTTGGTTTCTCTTCATAACTTTCATTATGTTTTCGTTCGGTTTATCCTTCTATCTTTCCTTATCGTTTTGTTATTCTTTATTTATATCTTTCCATCATTTTCTAGTATCTTTCCTTTTGTAATTCTTTGTTTGTATATATGCTATCCTTTTCTCTTCTATCTTTCCTTATATTATTCTTTATTTCTTCCTTTTTAGATTTACCTCCTACAAATGGTCTCTTTCTGTCACTCCTTGTGTTAACGTTACACTGCTCTGAACTGTTTTTAGAGAACAGAAGTTATTTCGCCCCAAAACCTAAAATGATAGGATGATCATTACCAATACGCTTGCAGTTCATATGTTCACCCCTTTCTCCTTTTGCCATAATCCATAGCTACCGTCACTGTAATTTACATATGGCCAGCCCCCAAGCCTTTGGGAATGACCCCCAAATTTCCTGATTACCATTCTGTCGCTCTTTGGAGGGACCGGGCAGTCTTTTCAGAACTGTTTTTACAGTAACCTTCGCAGGCACTACGGCTTGACATATTAAAACAAGCATGCTTAGAATTTTTGACAGTACCGGTAAGCTGAATTCTGACACAGTTTTGCAGCACAACCTAAAAACTAGAATACGGTTAGCTGCCTCTTCATTCACATAATTACTCACTTTTTCTATGTTTTTGTCCAGATCACCTTATATTGTATTATTATCATATGTAATGTTTGTTTATTTTGACTATAATTTATATCTTGTGATTGTATCTAAATGTTTTTTATGATGAATGGAATAAATTATTTTATCTTATCTTATCTTACATGTTTCTATGCGATTCCGCAGTTTTTATGGGGTTTTTTTTTCTTTCTTTTTTTTTGAAAAATGAAATTATCACATTTCACTCTTATTATCGTACTAAATACGATTTAATCGTACTGGTTGGCATTTCTGATCCTACTTCACCGATATCAGCTATGCTGAACAGGATTTCAACTTTGTCATCCAACGCTGCTTCTATGGGTCAGAAAATGGGAAAGGTGAATCCGATAGTGAGACAGGTACGCTGAAAGCCAAACTTGATGTTGCAGTACACGGGCAAGGCATAGACTCTAGTCATCAATAACGCTAAGGATCTCTACAAATGGGCTTCTAAAGTGCTCGCAGATGTCAGTCAACCAGGCCCTTCATCCATACACACAAAAAGCAGACGTATATTCTTTGATCGAAGAGATACCGACAAGCAGAGATCGCACTAAACATGTGGCTACTCTTCCTCAAACAAGGAAAGTACATTGCATACGATCAACTGGGAATCCTTATCAAGTGCAGACCAAAAACCTTTCTTGCTTTTGTAAAGAATGCCTCACTAGTAATGACGCCTGCTGTAACAACAAAGAGTATGTTGTACAATGGAAACTCCGGCACCTCAAGACATTAGTAAGACCACACATAGAATATGGTAACATCCTATGGCACTCACGCTGGAAGGAAGATGGCTACAAAGTTGAAAGGGTTCAGAGGAGAGCGACAAAGATGATGCCAGAGACAAGAAAACTTCCCAACACAGACAGGCTAAAGATTTTTGACCTACACTCCTTGGACTATAGGAGAAGGAGAGGCAATGCCATTACAGTCTTCAAAATTCTAAAGGGCTTAGTAAGAGTGGACCCAAGTCACTTCTTCACCTTATCACTCGATACTCGAACCCGAGGACACTCTCTAAAGATTTTCAAGGAAAGGTCTCGTCTAAACATAAGGAAATGCTTTTTCAGCAACAGAGTGGTGTCCGACTGGAATAGTCTCCCTCAGGAAATAATTGACTCAAACTCCATCGATATCTTCAAGATGAGACTGGATAAGCACCGGTGGTCTGAGCGATTCGTATTAAGTTAATTTGATATTATCAAAACCCTCCCAACTCTGCGCATGTGCAATAAGTTAACTCTAGAACATAACCAACCCTGAAGAAGAGACCGAGTATTACAGGATCTACCTCTCCTCGTATCATCATCATCATCATCATCATCATGATGGTTGGTGGTGATGATGAAGGAGAAAAGGATCACGCACAGCATTGAAGAAAGAGAAGAATCTGCTACTGTTGTTACTGTCACTAAGTGCCATTTCCTTGTTTTTCTCCCTTTCTCACCCGGCCGGCCTCTCTCTTCTCTTTCTTTTCTTTTTTTTTTTTCTCTCTCTCTCTCTCTCAGACTCCGCCGAGTCTCTTTCTTTTTCTTCCCTTTTCTTTTTTTCTCCTTTCTTCTCTTCTCCTTGTTTTCTCACCATTCTTTTTTTCATGCGCCGCCAACAGGGGGCGCGGCCGTTTCGGCCCCCTGGATCCGCCCACTAGACTTATGATTTATAGTAGATCTAGGTGAAAGTCGCTCAATCTACCACTAAACCAGCGTAGAACGTACTAAAATAGGTTCTACCTGTCTACGTAAAACTTAAAATGCAACGCGTGGGACTAGTATAATATAAAATGCTGAGTCTTTTAGTTTTAGTTTTAGCTGTAATCGTATCCTCCTCAAAACACTTATATGCCAATTAGAACAACTGAAAAGGGGTCTTCTGCAATTGTTCCAAAAAGAGTTGACATTATTCTAAATAATCCTTAGTTCACAGAAGTAACGTTATTTTCTTACTTAGTTTAGAAGGTAAGGCAAGGACTGTCTCCGGTTTAACGTTGAGGGTGTGCCTATTTTCTCAGCTGATTCATGGGCATGGGCGCGCGATACGAAAGCAGTCGGTCAAAAGTAGAGGTCAGTGGTCAAAATGGTCAAAATCCTCCAAGGGGGGGGGGGGGGGGGGGGGGGCGGGGGGGAGTTGAATGAACCACCCACACACAATTTTAATAACGGGTAGAAATTGCGACAATTAATACTTTATTGACATAGACTATCTTGTATCTTGTCATACGATATGAGCATTGCTGAATAAAAATATATCTAACTTCATAACATTATTTTGTTTTCTGGTTTATCTAATATGAATATATTTATAGATTATTTTATTGGTTTCCACAATATCTCATTTTACAAAGAGTGTAACAACATATTGAAAATGATTATAATATACATGTATATACAATACACAAGATTCAGAAAGATATAGTGGCGGATCCTATGGAAAAGCAGAGTTTGTTTTGGATAGCTCTTTAAACTATACAAATGACATAATAAACTAAAGTTAGGTTTATGCAATAAAAATACACGCTAAAACAGGGAAAGGGATATTACAGGGATACATGAACCGATACTCACAATTAACTACAAAGGGCAGGGAAAGGGAAGGGAATATGCAGCTCATTGTGTCATTCAATCAAATTTGATATAGACATAATGCTTCCTTTGTGGAGGGCATTCTGATATTTTATTTTCTTGCCTATTAGAAAGACAAAATATATCCTATCATTTTATGCACACTTTAATATTTAAAATCATATAAATTACCGTAGACCGAGGACAATTATTATTCAGAATCAGGCCCGGCCATCGATCTGCACCTATACAAAATTGATAACCGCAACGGTTTTACTAATTATCAATATATTATGTGACACCTCAATTACAATCAAATAGTTTCAGTATAGCCGAGTGTAAAGCTTTATAAACCAGGGACTCAGGTTTAAATCCTATACTTCTTTGGAAAGATTTTTTAAATTTGTACACTTTCATTTTATCATGATCATTAATTTATAATATCAAAATAACAGCCACCCCCCTCTAATTGATACCAACGCTAACTCCGCATACCAACACTAACAATACCCACACATGATCAATGCCCCCACCCGATAACCCGACTCAAAAACAATATCAATACCAATGTAACACACCATGAATTATTGTGACCTACACGTACTAACGTAAGCCTAGGATCGAGGAAAGCTAGAAGGAGATAATCTGCCAAATGGGCTCTCGAACTGAGTTTCATACCTTCTATTCATTTTGAAGTTTTTCATGCAGATTTTCATGGGAACTGAGTTTTAAACTGTTATCAAGTAACCTATTAAAGGGAAAGTCCACCCCCAAAATAAGTTTGTTTCGATAGAGGCAGAATAATAAGAAAATCAGGTGAGTGAAAGTTTGAGCAAATTCTGAATGAAAATAAGAAAGTTATGAATTAGTGAAGTTGTGATCAATCAAATACAAATTGGCAACTCTGTGACTTATTATACGAGCTCTCCTTCATTTGCTTTGTGCATAATATTCCATAAAATCATGTTTTCTTCGTTATTGATGACGGAATATATATTTGTTCCTTGCAGGGGGAGTATAGAAACATATTTGCAATTATTATATTTAGGGTGCATGTATGGTTGAAATTTTTCTTGAGGGAAAATGAAAAATTTAGATTTTTTTAGTACTGAGCAAATGGAAGTTGAGCTCGCATGATACGTCATAGAGTTGCCAATTTGTGTTTGATTGATCACAACTTCAAAAATCCTAACTTCCTTATTTTTAATCGGAATTTGCTCAAACTTTCACTGACTTGTTTCTCTCATTTTTCTACTCCTATTGAAACTAACTTAATTTCAGGGTGGACTTTCCCTTTAATAACGTGATGGCGGGTCATCTATATATCAACACAAGTTTAACACCTTTAATAACAAACCAAAATTACACAATTCTATTCCCTTTCCCGTAATGAAAAGAATATGTTCTTTTCTATTTTTTATATTCATATATTGTCTTAATGATTATTAAAAAATACATGTATGCAATTTACATGCATTTTCTACAACTTCCTCTTTTACTTCTTTTCTTCATGTTTCTCCTCTCCGTTTTCCTGACTTCATATTAGATTTTTTTCTTCTTATTTTTTGCTGCCCAAGCAATCTTATCATATTAACTATTATATTTCGATATTGACAAATCAATTGTAACTATATGTTTGAAATATGCATTGAGTATTTTAATTGTACACAGTCATGACCAATGCAGCCATTGGGCTGGTTTACATGTTTTTAATAAACTTTGCATTGCATTGTATTGCATTGTTTATACCACCCCCTCCCCTCAACAAAAAGAACCTGCATAATTATTTCTCTCTCTCTCTCTCTCTCTCTCTCTCTCTCTCTCTCTCTCTCTCTCTCATTCTCTCCTGTGACCATGCTTTGATATATACCAATCATATTGATTTTTTTTTAACCCGTGGAATATAGTGATAGGTAGTTTTGGATCGGGACTAACAAAAATCACTCTTACACAAATTCGTTTCCAGTTCGTGTTTCAGAGGTTACTGCGAATGGTTATACCTTCTCCAAGATGATGAACTTTCCGATGTTCGCTTTAATCGTGCTCGGGCTATTTGTTAGCTGGCCTGGGACAACCATTGTTGTGACTGAGGCAGAAGACTCTAAAAACACAAAATTTCTTGCCAGAGTAGAGGTATGTGTCTTTTTTGTTTATTTTCTTCTATATTTCTGGATGCACCACTGCCTCCGTGATGGGGGGGGGGGGGGGGGTGGAGCCGGGTCCAAAGTAAATATTGAAATACGAATTTTCCTGTCATCTGAGGTAACTACTGATACTATACTGAATATATGCACCACGGTATTAACAATTATGAACAGTATCTTTCACTCTCTGCTCTTTTGATGTTCAATAGTGAACTGTCATTCTTTTTAATGATTATAATATTATGTCTAAAATGATCATAATGCCCTTGACAAGAACGATATAGCAAAAACGGTGTAATGATTTCAGCCATGTAATATTTAAAAGTGCTAATCGGATGTATGTACGTATGAATGTATATGGTGATAGTGCCTTCTCTTCAGTTGCTTGAAGCCTCTGTAATTCCCTCCCTCCTGTATTCCTCGCAACACCGACAAGCTAGGCAGGCCTCAAAATCCACCTTTTCAAGCAAATTTAATGTGTAGTCCATGACTATTGGAGGAGCGGGCGCCTTTGAATGTTTGCAACAGTTAATGACGCCATACAAATGCTGTTGATCATCACTCATAATACCCCCACCCCATAATTTGTTGTGTGCTCGTTTTGAGCTAGAAGGAAGTTCTTTCTTTAATTTAATCGGAAATAGCATTTATTTTATTCCCTTTGATCATATTAAAACAATAATAAATCATTCAATGTATCCATTATGACTTTAACATTTTTGAAGAGCATAAATCTCTTGGCTCCAATGCAGACGAAATTAATTCATAAATAAAAATATGGTACGATTCTGATACTGAATTATACTTGTTTCCATGTTATGAATTAGCAAACGTTATAATTCTATACAGATATATATCTATTGTTAACCACATTGTTTTGGAACATCTGGGATTTTGAAGGTCGCACGCCGTCTGCTGTATATGAGAGGAAAACAATACAATAGTATTTCACCGACAAGGTCATGACGTATTGTGCTACTGTATACTGGTTGGGAAGATGGATGTATACACGTGGATGTTTTCTCTTTTGAAATGATATTCAGAGTTTAATCAGAAGTCCACTGTGTATTGATTTGTAAAACCTTTTCCACTGGTGAATAGATAGAAAAGGGAAAATACCATTGTTATACATTCAATAGCTTGGTTCGTGATGCACAACATAGAGCTTATATAAGAGGATCAATTACAGAAAAAGTGTTTTGATCCGAACATAAATTATGTTTATGCTTATCATAATTATCTATTATTTATAATTAATTAACCCCTATTTTATCATTCCACCTTCTCTCTCTCTCTCTCTCTCTCTCTCTCTCTCTTTCTTTCTCTCTCTGTTTGTTCTCTCCTTTTCCCTTCCCCTCCCTCTCATTTCCTCTCTCCTTTCTCTCTTTTCTCTCTTGATTCTTTTCTCTAAATTCCCCCCTAAAATTCCCCTTTCCTCTTCCCTTTCTTTTCCCTCTCACTATCATTTTTTCCATTCTCTCTCTCTCTCTCTCTCTCTCTCTCTCTCTCTCTCTCTCTCTCTCTCTCTTTCTCTCCCCTCTCTCCCCCTCCTTATCTCTCCACCCTGTCTCTTTCCTTGTTATGCCTCTTCCTATTATCATACAGAGCTGCCGTGGATGAAGGTTGAACTCGCTCCCTGCGGTGAAGGCTTTCATCTTTGAAGACCTTCCCTATTAGTATCCTTTCCAAGAGTCTTTTCAAAACCACTTTTTTTCTTTATGTTTTTACTTTTTCAAAATTATTTTTAGCATCAGTAGGAAAGGTTGGAAATATTATCGACAGTAATTCAGGAACAAGATCCAGACTCTTATTAGTTTTTGTTTTGTTAAGCGCGATCTTTTCATGAAATACGGCATTCGAAACTGAAACATTATTAGCCCAAACAGGGAGGACAAAAAAAAGGGGGGGGGGGATTCCGACCGACCGACCCATGTTTTGGCAACTAAAGCGCAATACAAGTATACAACACATTTATTTTTAGGCCTTATCAGAGAAGAAAATGGGGCATTTCACGCAACTTAAAAGGCCGGGCACTCACAGGAGATGAAAAAGGCACTAGTGAGAAAGGAAAAGGGGCATTTTCGAAGGAAAATGGGCACCTTTCAGATTTTATTAGTGGCATTTATCACAGATGAAATGGTGCATTTATGAAAAGGGGAAGGGGAAGGGGTTCTTATTTTTTTTAAAGGAAAAGGGGGCACCTATCAGAAGGGGAAAAGGGTACTTATTAGAAAAAAGTGGTTTACTCTTCGAAGCAAGAGGGGCGCCTATCAGATTTTAATAGGGA